GGGCCTTGCCCAATCAAAACACGAGGCGGGCACAGTCGCACGCCCCATTGGCGTAAACGAAAACGGGAAGACAGCCAATCACACGGCCACCTTTTCGCGCCTTGAGGAAACTATAAGAGCCCAGCCGGGGAACCTTGGTGTCACCCAACTCCTAACTGCCGTTTGCTCTTCGCCATGTCTGGACGCGGCAAGCAGGGCGGCAAGGCGCGCGCCAAGGCCAAGACCCGCTCGTCCCGGGCCGGCCTGCAGTTCCCCGTGGGCCGCGTGCACCGGCTGCTGCGCAAGGGCAACTACTCGGAGCGGGTGGGCGCCGGCGCCCCGGTCTACCTGGCGGCCGTGCTGGAGTACCTGACGGCCGAGATCCTGGAGCTGGCGGGCAACGCGGCCCGCGACAACAAGAAGACGCGCATCATCCCGCGCCACCTGCAGCTGGCCATCCGAAACGACGAGGAGCTCAACAAGCTGCTGGGCCGCGTCACCATCGCGCAGGGCGGCGTCCTGCCCAACATCCAGGCCGTGCTGCTGCCCAAGAAGACCGAGAGCCACCACAAGGCCAAGTGAGCGAAAGTTTTGGAAGTTCTTGAAAAAGGCTCTTTTTAGAGCCGCATTCTCTCCTCGGGAAAAGACTGACACTTGATATTTTGACAAACGCCTTTATATTTGCGCGGTTACATAGTTCTACGCGTGTTTCCGAGTGACTGGCCGTACGTATGTGGAGGTCCGGGAAACTTGGAGTTTTCACCTGGTCAGGATGGTCGAGTTCTGAAAGTATGGTTGCTCCGAGTTTGAGGTAGTAAGTCTATAAATGTGCAAGTGTACTGCCTTTACAGCTTAATTTTCCTTTTCTGCATACTAGGATCTAATTTTTTGTGCCTTGGCTTTCTCATGTTACAATTCTATCATTGCTATGAGCTACATAGTGCTTTGTACACTAAGCAGGCATGTAGACAGTACTCTAAGCTTGACTGTAGTCATAATGATGGCATTCCTTGTTATCCAACCCCAAGAGGACTGCTAGACAACCTTCAGTCAGGAAAAGTACAATCTTACGAAAAGCAGAAGACTTTTGTGAAGAGTGGCTTCAAATATCCTCAGTGTTGCCAACAGTCTATGTGAGCGTAGGCAGGTCTTACTCTGGGCCTTAAAAAATAATTTTAATGTCACTTAATAGCTTTGCTGTCCGGAAATTCAGGCACAAAGATTTATTTTTCCTCTCAATTCCGAATTGCTTATTCTTTCAGGAACAATTTATTTCACACTTAAATATACACAGTGTTCTTGGTAAGGAAACTGTCTAGTGAGCAAAAACAAAAGGGAGCAAATAAATCATAATGTAGGAAGGGGCTAGAGAGATAACTGGTTAAGAGCTAGTGGCTGCTCTTGCAGAGGACCCAGGTTCAGTTCTCAGAACCACATGGTGACTAAGAACCATTCCTGAGTTCAGTTCCAGGGGATCCGATGCCCTCTTCTGACAATGGAGGGCATTGCACAACACTGGTGCACATCCATGCATGCAGGCAATACAGATACACATAAAATAAAAGTAATAAAGCCGGACGTGTGCTAGTGCACACCGTTAACCCCAGCACTCAGGAGGCAAAGGCAGGCAGATCTCTGAGTTCGAGGCCAGCCTGGTCTGCATAGAGAGTTCCAGGTCAGCTGGGGCTGCAGGGAGACCCTGTCTCAAAAGAACCAAAAAATTAATTGAATATTTAAAAACAGGAAAAACGAGCAAGAAGTATATGTGGAGCTCTAGGTAGTTTAAGAGAATATAATGAAAGCCACATCTGGTTTGTGGGTTAAAGAAAATTAGAGAACTGTATGGGAATTCAGCATAGAATTCACATAACCGGATTCATGACTGGCTTCAGCAAGGCAAATTAGGAGAGATTTGATATATACAAGAAAGCAAAGTTTAGAAGAGATGGGTCAGAAGGGATTTGTAGGCTACTCCTTTAGTTTTAAATACATTCTTGACTACCTGATCTTTTTTCCTGCCCTAGACTTCTCCCCTGCATTCTGTATGTGACTATTTTCCAGAATACCTAAAAAAAAACTAAATGGGCTGGGCGTGGTCACACATGCCTTTAATCCCAGCACTTGGGAGACAGAGCCAGGTGGATCTCTGTGAGTTCAAGGCCAGCCTGGTGTACATAGTGAGTTCCAGACCAGCTGGGGCTACAGGGAGACCCTGTCTCCAAAAAAAAAAAAAAAAAAAAAAAAAAAACCAAAAAACTGATTCCAATAAAAAGCATTATGACATTATTTTATTTTTAAACTTTTATTGTTTTGCATATGTGTGTTCTGTGTGTATGTGTGTTCTCGTGTGTCAGTACATGTGTGTGGAGGCTAAAGGTTGACACTGGGTGTCTTCCTTGATCACCTTCCACCTTATATATTGAGGCTGGGTTTCTGTCTTGGACACTGAGCTTGAAATTCAGTAGGTAAACTAGCCAACTTACCCTGAGGTCCCCTGTCTCTGATTCCCATGTTCGGGAATTATAGGCAGGCAACATGTCTACTCAGGATTTACAGGAGTGTTGGGACTAAACTCCAGTCCTCAGTTCTGCCCAGGCGGTGCTTTTCTGTCCTGAGTCATCCCCCAGCCCACATTCTTTTATTTCCTTCTACGTCTCACAGGTACAATTTATGTAAGTCCTGTTTCCTATTAACCTCTCATAGGCAGAAGTGTTGGATAGCTTTAGTGCTAACTTGACACACCTGGGTTGAGGGAGCCTCAGCTGGGGAATTGCCTCCATAGAACTGGCCTGTGGCCATGTCTGTGGAGCATCTTCTTGATTGTTGAGTGATCTGGGAGGGCCCAGCCCACTGTGGGTGGTGCCACCCCTGGACAGGTGGGTGTATGTAGCATAAGAAAGCAGGCTGAGCAGGGGCCAGGAGAGTAAGCCAGTAAGCAGTGTTCCTCCATGGCCTGTGCTCCAGCTCCTGCCTCCAAGTTTCTGCCCTGAGTTCCTACCCTGGGCTCCCTGATGAACAGTGACCGGGGAGATGTAAGATAAATAAACCCTTTCCTCCCCCAGTTGGTAGTGGTCAGAGTGTTTTGTCACAGCAATGGAGGATCAAACTAGAACAGCAGACAATATGCATTATTACCAGGTGGAAAAAATTTATTAAGGTTGGGTGTGGTGGCACATGCCTTTAATCCCAGATGTAGCACTCTTGAGTTGCAGGACAGCCTGGTCTACATAGGGAGCTCTCAAACAGCCAGGGTT